TAATGGGTAGCGTAGTTCTCTTATGCAAATAAGTCTGCTGCATAAAAATGGCAGTAGGCGTACACACGCGCGACCAATTCTCAGAGAATGGTTCGACACGCGAGGCAACGAATTTGCTTTGCTCCTGGTAAGTCACTGTCATTTCTATTACACTCTCCCCTGTCGAATGATCACATAAGTGACAGTGAGGGGCTGGTCGTTTCACCCTTGCACTCCTTCGCGGTGGTATAACCATGTCTTCCTCCCCGGCTGAATCATCAGATGTGTCCTGGTCTGAATCATATTCCGGGGGATCAATAAGGTTCAAGTCTACTTCTTCCTCGCTTTCAGATGAGGCGTCGCTGCTGCTTGCACTGGAGCCATTCTTGCCATTCATGACTCCCTGATGTTGTGTCACCGCCATCATCCGTTGGTAACAATGAAGTGAGCCGTGGACGTACATCTCCCACGTGCTGCGGTATCCCGTCGATGACTACCAACTGCGGACTGTTTATTCCCGTGATACGACTTTCACAAACTTTGACGTGCAGTGTCCGTGCGGGTTTTTTACCCAAACTGCGTCTCCTTCTTTATACAGAGTCGAAGTTGCCTGGTTAGGCAAGGGCACAACGTCAATTCCTTTTATTCGAATTTTGTACGAATGCAGCAGATTGGCGGGCGCAGAAGAGGCAGACACATCATCCCTGGGTGTAATGTTATACCAATATACGGCCTCCATAATAGAGCAGCTGTTTCGCGCAGCAATCCGTTTGATTGTCCGATGACACCTCTCTACAATACCATTTCCAGATGGTTTGTACGCGCAGCACGGTCAGAATCGGACGCCCCATTCTTCCGTGAATTGTTTGAATTGCTGACTGCGGAATGCAGTGTCATTATCAGCCAGGATCCCCACTGGGGCACCACGTTCGAAAAACACTGACTCCAATTGCCGAATTACGTGTGCAGCATCTTGGCGAACTAGCGGCCACCAGATCAAAAACCGCGTGGGGCCGTAATCGATCAGAGTCAAAAAATGGCGACCGTTATAGTGTGTGATGTCCATTCCCAGATGACTCCAAGTTTCATGCACACTGAGCTCTCCCTTCTGCCATCGCACAGAAGTTGGATCTATTGACTGACACTGTTCACGACTCCGAACGACCGATCTCACTGCTGCTTTCGACACAGACGAGTTGATCCTACGTGCGAAATATAGTGTCCGTTTAACTCCAGGGTGCCCACTGTGTTGATGAATCTCAGTTAACTGAGCAAGGCTCGGGTTTCCTATGGCAAAAGCACATACTGGTTGAACAGGTTCATGTTCCTTCACATTGTTGAACCACCTCTGGGGAACTCTAGTCAGCAAGTCAGCTCGGTTCTGGTCGGATTTAACTAGCGCTATGTCAACGGAAAGTTTATACTCTTTCACAAGAGAAGTTGGAGTTTCAAGTCGCCTTATGAGCATCTCGCTAGCGGTCTTGGTGTTCAGCCGAGACTTTTCCGTAAGTGTATTAGTCACCCAATGGTACACGCAGAGGGAGTCTGTGTTCACGTGTAATACCGTAGCCTGCCATTTTAGCGCGAGGTTTATTCCCTTCAGCACGGCATCCAGTTCAGCCACATTGATATGCTGGGTGTTTTTTTATCGGCTGTAGCCAGCATGCGTCCTCGATGATGGCTCCCTTAGCCTCGAGCGCTACTCCTACAGCCAGCGAACTCGCGGCCCACCCACACGTCTAGCTCCTTCGTATTCACGCACCATTCTCCTGTGCAGGATCCAGTTGCTGAGCCGGGTGAGGGTGTCCGTTATCACACGTTCAGGGGAGCATCAAAATTTTGTCGTCCCAGTTTTTGCGTTACGGCAGTGGCTCGATGTTTGATGACACCTGTCGCCACTGCAGCCATCCACACACGGGAAGTGTCCCACCAGCCAGCCACGCATGGAGAAAATACCTCTCCGTGTCATAGTCATAGGGCCGTTTACCATTCTACTTCCTCGTCGCCATCGCAGTCGACCCTGTTCCTTCCATACTTCTAGCCCCAGCACTCTGGCTCCGTCCTGTAACTTCTCTGGATCCTTGCTCGTCAGTCCGTAGAGCTCGAGATGTTTCCTCACAGATTCCGCCGACGCCACATCCTCGTTGATATATATATATATATATATATATATATCATCAATATATGCTGACATTGCTCTATTTATAGTTTCATTCTGTGCTAACACAGCTTTGAGCACAGCTTGCATTATCAGGGGCGCCACATTCAGGCCGAACCCCAGCCCTGTCAAACAATATCGCTTCCCTTTAAACATAACTGTTTGATATGGCCACAGGGATTTTTCAACACAGATCTGTAGATATGCTTTCCTGTGGTCCAGAATGGACACGTTCGCACCCTGCTGTCTCCAGTCTCCGTTTTTCTGCGCAAACATCCGCGGCACCTGTGAATTTTCAACGTAGGTATTCAGTTCCCTATAGTCCATCACAGGATGCACCTTATGTTTGTTGGTCTGCAGCACGGCCATCAGTGGTATCAGTCCCTTGGGCGGGCCAAACTCCTTGTTACTGTACAGCACCAACCAACCATTGTCCATCCATGTTTGTAATTCATGCTCGTACTCCTCTCTCATCTCGCTGGATACTGGATACTCAGAGATCCGATTCTGAAGTTTCCCTGGTGCATGACCTGCCGACCACTTCCAGGCTGCGACCCAAACTCCCCTGCCGTTCATTGAATTTTGCAGACTGAAATCGGCTTCGCTGATCTGAATTGCTGCACAGACGGACCGTGGTTTTTCAAACTCCACGCTTCCATGCTGCATGATGCGAACTCCACCGAGTGCCTTAATGGCATCGATGCCAAGCAACAGGTCGAAATCCAGGGGCTTCCCTCGCATAACCAGCACATCGATTGTAGCAGTATTACCGGTTGCTGTGCGAATTCTGACAGTGCCCCTTCCACAGCAAGCCTGTGTAGCTCCGGTTAATGTAGATACCGCCATACCCTGCTTCGACCAAGACCGACATAAACTCGCGCTCAAGATTGACTGTGAGCACCCAGAGTCAAGGAGAGCCAAGCATGGTGTGCCGTCAACACACACAGTAATGATGGGTAGCACCGAGTTGACTTGCTGTTTGGGGAGTGGACCAGCACTGAAGTCTCGTCCCCGCCTCAGTTTCCCGGACAATTTTTGGCCAGATGACTGGTCTTGTTGCATCGATAACAACGCGCGTTAGTTGCCCTTCGCCTCTTCATGCAGTTCCTCGCGAAGTGATTGGGCCCATTACATTCATAGCATGTGACAAGTGGGCCCATGTCTGGGGAAGATCAAGGAGTCTGGGAGGGCTGCACCGCAGCGACGACTGGTTCCATCTCTGCTGTCTCATCCTTTATGATTGCCCGAGCTCGGGCCAATAGCTCCTCGAGAGACATATCACCTGCTCTGGCCGAGGTCCGCAGGAGCCTTTTCACAGGATCAGGAAGCCCCCACACGCACACGCATGCCATCGCACTGTCTGGCACTCCTCCAAAAAGGACGGACAGCTTCCGCAGATCTGCCAAATATACATCTACGGTCTCACCCGGACGCAATACACGTGCCTCGAATTGTTTGTATGCCGTGAATTTATCAGGAGCAAATGCTGTCATCAATGCTCCCTTGATTCGAGCCACATCCGATTTCTCTTCTATAGATAGTTGCTGGTAAACTGCGAATGCTCCCCTGGTTAAGCGAAGAGGGATGACAGGATCAAGCCGCTTCACTCCTGATAGGTCGCACACCAATTCCAACTTCTCAAGCCATTCAACCACAGATCCAGTCCCATCAAACTCGGGAATAATTTTTAAATCAAACCAGCCGTCCATGTTCGCCGAAATAGCTTGTCAGATATCCAGAAATTGCTGTCGCTTTCTGTCAGCAATACGTCTAGTCTCGCCGAAGCCTAGAAGAGCAGTGCTCTCCCGCGTCCACTCGCCTAGTTTTTAATGGGTAGCGTGGTTCTTTTAGGCAAATAAGTCTGCTGCATAAAAATGGCAGTAGGCGTACGCACACGCAACCGACTCTAAGGGAATGGTTCAACACGCAAGGCAGCGAATTCGCTTTGCTCCTGATAAGTCACTGTCACTTCTATTACAAAGACTGAACTCACAGGGCATAAAATCAATCAGGAAAGCATGGGACAAACAAATATCCAAAATATATTTGATGGCAGTGTAATGGATTTTCTGGTTTTAAAGTCACTGATTAGTACATGAATGGGAATCAGTAACAGATAAATCATTATAGTATAGAGCTGTTTATTCTTGTAATCAAGTAGGCTGCCTTCACTACCACATATGTTTGTATGTATGTTTCCGGAATGCACACCCACTATACTCCGATCTTCAGCAATAATACCAATCCCTATGTAAATAATCCCCAGATATTTTATGAGTAATATCCTGGTATATGTATAAACTATAAAACCAACACTAAATTTAGAATTTCATTAGACTTTCAGATGTATATACATATATATCCAAAAACAAATATGTCAAAACACAATATCAAACTAAACAGGACAATTATAAAATACTAACATAGAATATTTTTAATCAATAACTTTACAAAGCATTAAGAAAACTAATATTTTTTTAACAAATTTGAACATTAAAAAACTTCACTTTAATTTCTTCCAGGATTTAAATTAACTTAATATATGAAATAGTAAAATCAGTTTTAATTCCAAGAACCAGTTTGTCAAAGTAAATGGTTTCAGTTTTTCAATGTTATTTTTATAACATTTTATAACAAAGTAAAAACATTTTAAAAGCTTCACTGTTATTTTTCCAGCATCAGAAATTATCAAAATAAAATATTTTTAAGCTGTAAAAGCTACTAAAAAAGAAAAAAAGTGATATCTTTAAATTTTTCCTACAAATCCAATCAAATATAAAAAACAAGACTAAAGTAAAATTTAGACACTATGAAGTTAATAATACATTTAAAAACATTTTACAAATTAAATAAAACTTTTTTCTTACAGAAAACAAAAAAATGCACCATAAAAATGAAACCATTGAATACTTACTTCTTCCTCTTCATTATCAATATCTTCATTTTCCTCAGGCATTTTCATCACAGGCAAAATATAAAGCAAACCACTTGTACCGAGAAATAACTTCTCAGTTTCAATATATTCAACATCTTCATGGTCAAGTATACCAGTGACACCACGAATACAAAGGTGTAGCATCTTTCTAGCTGAGAAGCTATTGACTTGTTCATTAAGTTGCAATTTGTACAGACTGAGGACAGCTAACTAAACAGGTAAAAAAAAATAAAATAGAAAATGGTAAACAGAGCTGAATAGATAGTGAATAAATTAGAAAAAGTGTAAATAACAAAAAAGTCATCATTTTTTTCAGTAAGTGAAGAGATACTATTTACAATTCAACAGGCTTTAAATTTTCATTTACTAAAAAAGCCTTCAGAGTAAAGAAATAGTCAATGCAAAAAATGATTATTTTAACAAAAGAAATAAATATACAATTTGATATTAGGTTATGTTCCCAAAAACTACAGTCAGATGAAGTTATTATGCAAATCACATAATCTTTAATAACTCAAATTTGCTTTGAACAATTTTTGTAAAATTTTAGAGGATTAATTTAGATGTCAAAACAAAGCTTGGGTTAAATTTTTAGGTTATTTCAACATGTTTTATTAAACTAATATTAGGCCTATGAAATCTAATAAAAATTATTTTTTTCTTTTTTTTCCATAATATATGTTGAAATATGGGTAATGAAAAGAATGCAATAAATGGTGAAAAACAAAAAAATAAAGTTATTGAGTTAGAGAATGTTTACATTTGAGATATCAAAGGAGTTTTCAGAGATCATTAAATCATAAATAGGGCTGTTGAAAATATAACTAAGTTGAGAACTAGAAGCAATGGAAAAGGTTTTAAGAACTTGTCTCCTTGAGGGGAACATAAACTAAAGCAAGTTATAGAGAAACAACCACTTTTTACCAGACTGAATTGAGGAAATCAAGGACAAAAGCTGTAGAATATTTTGCAAATGGAGATGTCAAGAAATCTCATAGTCAAACTCCTTTCAGTAAATATTTTAAAGCATCAAAATTGGGCCAAGAAATACATAAAAATTGACTTTTCTAAAGTAATTTTCATGGATGAATCTCAGGTGAGAGCTAAACATTCAAAGTTGATGAAGGAGTTAAAGTGAACAGTGCTAACTATTGTGATTTCATGGACAAAACTTTCTTTGAATGATACAAGTCCCAGCCTCACAGTTTCAAAGTGAAGTGTGTATTTAAGCACAACAATGCTGCTTCTCAATTTTCTAATTGTAAAAGATTTACAGGAGATAAGATAATAGAATGGCCACAATTAAGTACCGATGTGAATCTGATCAAAAATTTATTATCAATTGTTAAGAAGAAATTATATGAAAGTGACAAACAATATGACAGCAAAGCAAGCCTATTGGAAGCAATTGAAATCACCATGTCAAATATTGAATCTGCTGAAGTAAAAAATTTAACAAAATCAATGCTGGCTGTTATTGAGAAGTAGGATCACTATATTAAGATGTAAATGTTTCAAAGACTTCTCGTACAGATTTGTTATTTGTTCCATTATAAATGTTGATCAGTTGTAGATGATTTTATTACTTTGTTATTGACGTAAAAAGTGATTTCCTGGTTTTGCATAACTTCAGAGTGCAGCTTTCATAATAAATCCAATAGACAGACTGCATATTATTCAAGGAAACTAATGCAGTTAATTTGTGATCCTAAGCCATGTTGCTTTTGTAGCTTTAGATGACTCTCTAAATTTGCATACACTTGTATTTTAAAAATTAACCTTTTTTTTGTTTTTGTGCATTTATTTAGAGTAAGTTTTATTTACTAATCTTAATCCAATAATCCTAGTAGTTAGTGAGTGTTAATTAACTTCACTTGTTTTATACAAAAGAAAAATAGAGAAAATTTCACCATTTCCTTTTATATCCCATATAAATTCAATTACAAATATTTGGTTGGAACACAAAAAAGCTGATTCTAATTGAAGTCATGCTGAGTGAGTTTAAAATTGTTGTCTCTGGAAATCATTAATATTTTCAATCTTCCAGCATAAGTCTTGCAAAATTTCTATTTTTTTAACAAAAACTTTTTGTTGTAAAGTCCTATGTCCTCAATGCTCATGTATAGTCCCTCCTCCTCCTAATCAGAGCCTGTGTATCTTAGATACATTAATTAGTTAATTTCCCTGTAATGAAGGGGGTTTTTGCCCCTTATTCTTCTTGTGCTTGTTCTATTATTTCATTTTCAGGTTTCTTTCTCTCTCCTTGAATCTTAAGGTATTTCTTTCTCTGGGAGATCGTGATCTATCTATTTTCTCTCGTTATCATGGCCATATTTTTGCAGTGTCTGCTCTTCCACTGTTTCTGATTTCATTACTTGACATATCCACGAACATTTCTTCATCAGACATTTCATCTTGCAAGAGTAGGTTTCATTTTTGTTCAGCACTATTGTTACTTGAGGTGTGCGTGAACATTTCTTTGTCACTTTCATCCTCATATTCATCCTTGTGGTCTTATTTGATCTACATGGGCTTAGTATGATACTCCCATTTTTTTCTTATTACAGCTGTGTGTTGTGTCCTTTTTACATTAAAAAAATTTGCCTTCTCTGAAAGCGTGTCCTTATTTTTCTAGTACCACATTTTCTTATTCGTAAAATATGATATGATTAAAGGAGCTCTGATCTGTCTTCCCATTAAGGCTGATGGACTCTCTAACCTTCCTATATGTAGTATGGTGCGGTAACTTAAAAGCAGCCTAAATAAAAAAAAAAAAAAAAATTCTACTCTTTCTGTTGTGAACATGCCTTATGGTTTGTTGGGAGATTGCCAGACACCAGGTCTTTTGATATCTAGTTTCTGGAGAATATAACTCTTAACATTTGTTTTTTTAATGTAAAATTTCTGTCAGGCACACAAATTACTTCAAGCCAGCCTGAAAAAAAAAATCCACTAATATTAAGAGTCCTACTCCACTGATGTATGCCTGGTCCATGTGAATGCAATTCCATGATTTTGATCTTTCTAGGCCAAGAATGTAATTTACTTTGCTTAAAGTTCCTTATTTCTTTACATTTTGGGTGTCTTAACATATTCCTCCACACCTTCTGAATATCCCAGTCACCATGCTTCTAACTTTAGCCTTTTTTGTATGGCTGCTATCCCACAGTGTACATTGTTATGTACAATTTTTATTACTAGATTTCTTTGTGTTTCTAGAGGTATCACTAAATTGCCATTACAAACTACTCCATTCTCGATTGTCAATTTATATCTTATTCCTTTGAATTGTCTTTCTGCCCAAGAGCAATTACTCCATTTGTTATTTCTTATTCTTGATATTATGCTGCTTAGTACTGGGTCTTGTGTAATTTCTGCAGCCATTCTATCCAGAGACAAAATATCAGTCTCTACCCAATGTAAAAAGATGTCCTCAAAAATCTCTTCTGTATTAACTTTTGATGCCTTGTGAAATTGTAATCTTGATAATGCATCTACATGATGTATTGTATTTCCTTTGACATATTCTATATCAAAATCAAAAGCCATCAATATTATCAACCACTTTAATATCCTTGATGTTGTGACTTTGGTTAGTTCTTTTCTCAGATTGAATATTCATTCTAGTGGTCTATGATCAGACCTTAATAGAAAATTTTTTCCCAATTAAGAATTGACAGGCTCTAGTTATCATCCAAATAATCACAAGAGCTTCTTTCTCAATGTTTGAATAATTAAATTCAACTTTTGTCAATCTTCTTGATAGATACATTATTGGATGTTCTTCTTGAGATAATATTCCAGATATTGAATGCTCACTGGCGTCAGTAGTTAGGGAAAATGTTTTTTTTTTTTTTTTTTTCCAATTCTTTCCACTTTTTCTTTTTAAATCTGCACATCACTTGAAAATGATTCATTTTAAGACAATTTTTACACTTTTTTCCAAATGCAGGACATTTCTATTTCTTCATGTATTCATATCCACAGCAGAATCTGCATTTTGTTAGTTTTCTTTAACATGTAAGTGTCAGTAACCTCTACATAATACAGTCAATTGTCCGACTTATTAAATTTTTGTATTAGTTCCTGCTGTTGAATAAATTCAATGCAGATAGACAAAGACATGTCTCCTAGTTGTAATTGTTCTAATATTTTATAGCAATGTGTCATTCAGACAGATGAGATTAACTGACAGATTGCATAATGATGCAATCTGTCAGTTAATCTCATCTGAATTCTTCTTCAGTCGGTTGGCTTTCTTTTCAGAGTTTTTCAAATTCACAATATCGTGACACATTTTTAGACAAAGTAAAAATTTTGTAACAAGCTTCTTGTCTCATCCATGAATTTTGCTCTCTGCACTGACTAACCTCTTTTTTGGTCACATGTTTTTCTGTATTATCTGACTTATTTTGCTGAAAGTTAAATTTTCCAACTGCATTGGGTGAGCCAGAGTTGAAATTTTCATAATGGCTTTGACACCGGCTGTGGCTTAAAAAGATTGGTTATTTCATTTTCTCCTCCAGTTTCTTTGCTATCTCTTTAACTATGAACATTCTTATCTAGGCATCCACAAAATCAGGATTCTCTAAAAAGTGTTTTCTATTGGTGACACCTTTGTTGGGAAGTTCTAAGTCCTTTATGCTCATGCATAGTCCCACCTCCTCCTCCTAATCAGAGTCATTATATAGCCTGGATAATCTGGATATGTTAATTAGTTAATCTACATATCACTACACTTTTGCTGCCTGTTTTACAGTTAATCTTCACTGAAATGAAAAGATTTATAAACTTAAAAATCTAATAAACTATGAAGGCATTTTTTCAAGACACTATCAATAATTACTTGCATTATTTATATAACTTTGACTGTTATCGTCATCATCATTGGCATATTCACAACGTTTCATCCATTGTATATCCAGCCTGCTTTGGGTGATTGGAATTTCAAACCGACCCCTTTATTTCGTCCACCAGGGTCAATTGTTCTAGTTCCATGTGCCATGTCTCTTCCAGATGTCTCAAATGGCCCAGTGGATAAAGACATTAGTTAGATCCAGTGACTAGACCCAAAGAGTTCAATACCAGGCCACAGCAGTGCTGAACCATAACTTGGAGAGTTAAGAGAATTAACTGAGCATGTGGAACTAGAACAATCTCCTCTGGTGGACAAAATAAAGGGTTCGGTTTGCAATTCCAATCATCTAAAGAAGGCTGGAGCATACAACGGCCGAAACGTTGTGAATATGGCAATAAAAATGCAGATAACAGTCTAAGTAATGTAAATAATGCAAGTAATCCTTATAACTCATCTCAGAGATATAGACAAATACTCTCAATAATCTTTCTTTGGTCCTCAACAAATAAAAGATAACTGCCTTTTAACTTAAAATTATGCAATAGATACAAAGTCTGCATGTTAAAAGCTCTTTATTTAGTAGTTTCATTTTCATGTATGAAGCGTGCTGCACAGTTTGGGGCTCAAAAGACCAAACAGCAGATTTTTTTTAAAGGACTTTTTGGTTGAGCAAAGAATTTCTAACACCCACCTCATAAAATAAGCCAACATTGTGACTGTCCACAGAAAGAGACTTTTAGATTTTTAAAATACTCAAACATTAAACTAATACAGAAATGGTAAACCTGTATGTAATCAGTTAAATATACAAACACTGAAAACACTATTTTTATAAATTTTATCGAAATATTTTAACCAGTCTCAGAATTGACCACCAGATTCAAATCTTGATTTTACAGTATCAACCTCTAAATATCTGAACAAAACAAAAAAATATAATAAATAAAATATATAACTCCAATGTTTTTCAATATCCATCTAATTATTTTTAAATTGACTGTATGTCTAATGATATACTGGCAAACACAAACAAAAAGATAGAAAAAAAAAAAGCCTGATCAAATTTGCACACAAATTTCATTCACAGAGTTAAAGAAAGAAAGAAAGAGGACTGAATAAATACACCATTTTCATTGGCATGCTTACTTTATCCTCTGCAGTAGAGTCAGGCAAAGCTCCTTTAGTCAGCTTTGACTTTAGCCAATCACAAAGTTCCAAACTAGATAATGTATAGACATCATCTGCTTCTTCATCCAATTCAGGAAAAGATATTAAAAGTTTCCAGTAAAGTCGACTTTCATTTTTGTTTATTGATGAATCTGAAAGCAAAAAAGGCGGAAATTAATAAAAGCAAATACACTCATTGTAAAATATAAAATTAAAAAATAATACTCTTAAATTGTCTTAAGATACTAAAGCTTACTGCAGATTTATTAAAAGTTTTGATTAGTAATTTATTTGTGTCTCTGTTTACCCAATTTTTAGTTAAACATTTTAATTTGTTCTTCAATTATTAAACGATACAAAAATGGATGAAAAATATAAGAACCTCAAGCAAGATTTGAACTTGGGGTCTATACTTTGGAAACCAAGCAAAACAAAAAGATGACTTTTCACAAAAAATATTATTTTTTATGAAGTTCCTGAATCATAAAAAATTGATAAATATATAAATTCACTAATACTAAATCTAATTATTTTTCTGCATTATTCACACTTTCATCTCAAATTTAAGTCATCATAAAATCTTAATAAATTATGCATCATTACAGACTTACTGAACATATCAGAAAATTCCCAATTGCTTGAAGCAAGCAATTCCTTTCCAACAGTAGCCTGGATGTCAAGTGGATACCAAGCTTTCTGCTGCATCAGGTGTCTTCGTAGCCTGCACAATGTGAGAGCAGCAGGCAAGTAAGCATCTCTGCGGCTAATGCAGATTGGAGATTCTATTGAAAGACGTGCCCTCTTGTTCAACATAAGAGTCTCATCAACAATACCAGAATGTTCGGGTCCACACAACTTTTTCAATTGTTCAGTAACAGGAACCAAAGATGGACATGATGGAAAGGTTTGTAAAGAATATCTGCGTTGTTCTTGTCTAATGCAAGCTTTCTTCCATTGTTGCAACACTTTTGACATCCGGTACAGGCAGATGCAATATTCAAGTTCTTTCAGACGGAGTTTTTTCAGCCGTAATTCCATGTCCATAGCATAAACTTCATGACAAACACTAGAACACATTTCATCAATAACTTTATGGAGAATATCAGTCTTTGCTTGTTGACTACACTCTTCAATTGTTTGTTCTTTCAGCTCCTTCTCAACTTGTCTGCAATTAAAGAATAATTCTTTGTTTCATGGAAAAGAAAAATAAGAAAAACACAAAGAATAAGAGACATGCCAATACTGAAGAAATCTTCATGGTCTTTTCCTGATCAATAGCAATCCAAAATCTCCTGTTCAAAATGTGTTTATGTTCAGACATATATAACATGAACATTTAAGGCAAGAGGTTCTCCTTTAAGTTTCATTAAATGTGACAAACCATGATTCCTTCAAGAAAACAAGTATAAAAAGATGGCAGTCCTGAGTCAATGTTTTATTTCAGGAGAATGTGTAATGACGATTTGAAGCAGGAAATAATTAAAAATAGAGAAAAGACTCAGGAAAACTAATTAAGGGTTGAGAAGAATAAGGAAAGAAAGAAAGAAAGGAAGGATTTAAAATAATTAGAAGCCAAAAAACTAATTCAGAGAAGGCTACAGGAAGATTTTAACCTAAACTAAACCAACTAGAATTCATTAAGATTTAGTACAAATAAAAACATTAAACAAAGAAAAGAAAATCACAATATTAATCCATATTTTTTAATCCAATCTAAGCTTTTGGCTTACATAAGCCATTGTCAAAGATGACAATTACAGTACAATATATTAAGCAATACACGGGCAAGAATGTGATGATAGTATGTTTCTGTTTACATGGAAGATTTACAAGCAACGATAAACATGTGCATACAAGATGCTGGAAGCGAAAGTCACACCGCAGCTCAAACTCAATAAACCAATGGCTTCTGTTACCAATTATAGACATTTAAGGATATTTGTGGAGAAATCTCCACAATTATCCTTAAATGACAGAAGCCATTGGTTTATACCAACGGCTTTCCATACTTAATACTTCTCGAATTCACTCTCGCATGGTCATGTGTAACGTCATGAGCTGCGGTGTGATTTTCGCTTCCAGCATCTTATATGCACGTGTTTATCGTTGCTTGGAAATCATCTATGTAAACAGAAACAGACTATCATCACATTCTTGTCCGTGTATTGCTTAATATATTGTACTGTAATTGTCATCTTTAATAATGGCTTATGTAAGCCAAAAGCTTAGATTGGATTAAAAAATGTGATTTTCTTTCTTCATATAATGATAATGATATTAAGCTTATCAGACGTCATGAAAAGAATTTACATAAAATAAATAGAAAACACTTGTCTATATTATTTAATGAAACGTATGAATAAAAAAATAGTGTGAGAATCAATGCCCTCCATTTTGCTACAAATTTTGAGAAAAACTCTCCTTTTGCAAAATCATCAACTACATAAAAAGATTAATAAATCCTTACACCTTTTAAATTCTTCAATTTGCTTTCATTAAATCTGTTTGTTGGAGTGTTTTGTGAAAATTGTCAATTTATTGAAAACCAATTTCACAGAACAGAGACAAAGAAATTGTCATGATCTGTTGAGATTCCCACCTGAATTCTCAGCAGGAAGTACAACAACTGAGCAAAATCCCCATAAAATTAGGTTACCTTCCAGCATTCTGAGGTCATTGTCAAGAATACATTTTTGATAGTGTTCTAAGACAGGAGATGACAGATCAACAATAAGGGGGTTTATAGAAGAGCAAAGGTGAAGTTTTTGTACTTCCAGCAATTTCTAATATCAACATCTTCATATACCAACATTTCTCAAAGTAAAAATTAAAATTAAAATGGTATTAAATGCTAGACATCCAAGGATTCCTGATAGGAATAAGAAGAATCAAGAAACTATAACCATACAGTTTCCAAAAATAAATGGAAAATTAATTCAAAATAAAGTAACTTTAGAAACTTTGGTAATTCTTTAAATGACTGCAGAGTTCAAAAAGATTGTTTTTATAATACAAGTTCTAGAAGTTAAATATCTGATTTCAAAAAAATACCTGGGGTACATCACCACACTTACTGAGAAACAAAGGCTTACATTTGATTTTAGTGTTTTTCTAACAAATGCATGAACAGTCATGTGTAAATTTTATATATATATATATATATATATATATATAAATAAAAATCCCCTTTAGGCTCCTACAGTCTAAACACAGAATTTTAAAAATGGGTGACTAAAATATTATGAATTCCAATTTGGCCAAGTTACTCTGATTTGTATAATCTCTAGGTAGTTATTTAATTATTTATAGTTACTTCAAAAACATCTGCTGTCATTACAAACAATTATTTCAATTCAAGGAAATTTGAAAATAATTTTTAAGTGATAAATAAAATTTAAAGAAATAAAATTTAGAATTTAGATGAAATTAAAATTATATGTTCAAAATATTAATTTTAAAGTTTTAAAAATATGTAACAGGCTGATTTTAGTCTATCAACAAGCTACAGTTATTTCCACATGAATTTTTTCAAACACACTGAAAAATGCAAATGGCATCTGTATTGACTCACCAACATTAAAGTGAAAGAAATAATAAAATTTTAATAAAGCTGACAGTATTATTGATGGAATATAGACTGCATATGCATAAAAGATGCACTCCTATTTCAGCAAGGAATGTTCAGAAAATACTCTGCAGAATACAGTAGTAAATAGTAGTTTATCTAAGTGTCTTAATTTAACATTCAGAGACAGAGTGACTTCTTTAGCCAGATTTTTATCATCCAATGTCATTAAATAGGGTAAAAGTATTGGTATTCACCAACTAAAATAAGAAACAAAAAATCTAAATAAAACATACTCCATCTGTTCATTAGAGATTTGTTTCACTTCATCTTCCAGATATGTTTCAAGAATCTCTTGAACAATTTCATCTGTAACTCTCTTGGTGCGCTCTTCTTGCTCTCGTTGTTCTGCTAACCTTTTCTGCACTTCAGCAAGTCTCTTCACTTCCTGTTCTTTTTGTTTCTGAAGCGCTGCTGCTTCTGCCTTTTTCTTTTCTTCAAACAATTTCTTCTCCTGGATCATCTTCTCCAGCAATTGTTGTTGTTCAAGGCTTATCTCTTCGCATACCTGTTGGCTCAGTTCCCTGCAAGCATATAAGAAATCTCAAAGATTTTTAGCAATATCTCACACTTTCAATTCAATTAACACTTTTTTTCTGTATGCCACTTTTTATTGTTTTTGTTTTTTTTTTTAAATAGTGTTCATAAGACTGAAAGCCCATTAATCAATTTTGATAATCTTTGTATTAATATGTTTGGCTATATAAGCATGAAAAAAATATTAAAACATCTGGTGAAAAGGTTTTTGACTATTCTGTAAAAGTGCAAAACAATAAGTTAAATAAATATACACATTTAAATCTGCTGACATATATATATATATATATATATATATATATATATATATATAAATAAATAAATAATGCACAATGAAACTTTTTTTTTATCATTTCCCACCAAGTTAAGCAATAAAGCAACTAAGAAAAGTTTGAGATTACTATTGAGGATAATAAAAGAACAGGATTCAAAAAGGTAGATGACAACTGACATTGCATTTAAGTTTTTAAATATTGATGTTGACTGGAAAACAAGAAGCTGGAAGAGAGTTCCACAAATGAGAAGAGTGACAGAAGAAACTTATGGTTACAAGTAATGGGACGAATAATCAGAATTGGAATCGAGATTGAGAAATATCGGAATTTTTGGGGTATTGGAATCATAGAATTTTTAACCAAGTTTCTAGTTCCAAAAACGAATTCTTTGTTTATTTTTTTTTTGTTTAAAACTTACTTTCCATTACTGGTACTAATGATAAAAAGATATAAATATTTAAACTATTTATTGATTTTAAACTATCAGTAAAAATAAGATCTATAGATCATAATAACACCTAAACTAAGTATAAATTTATTTTACTTGTGTAAAAAAAAAAGGGGGGGGATGCACAAGTTTCTACTTGGTTCTCAAATTTTCCATAAAGTTTGTTATTTTAAAGCCGGTTCCAGTTCAAAATAAAGTTTTTATTTTTAGTTTCTTTTTAAATATTGTTAATTCACCCATTTAATATTAATAATTATAATAAAATTATGTAACAAACACAAATTGAATTCACATTGTTGTTCTGCTGGGCTCTCTTTTGAGACAATTTTATTATATTTATTTAATTTAAAAAGAAAAAAAAGGAATATACATTTGATTTCTTCACATAATAAAATTGAGTTTGTGTCACAAATTGTCCTTGTGGTGAGGTAGTTAAATTACAACAATTTTTTAAAATAGTTTTATCATAAAATAATTTTTTAGTCTTAGTTATTGAAAAGATTTTGGTTTACAAAAATAAATCATCTTTTCAATAACCAAGACTTAAAAAAGTAAACACTCTTTTTATGAAACTTAAATTTTTTTCTACAAAATTTACTTATTTCTTAAAATTTTATAGCTTTTGAAATGGATTTTCATCTTTATTTACTTAAAAAAAATAAACTTATTTGAAGTTTCCTGAAAAACAGCTTTTTCACAAAAGTTTGTGTTTAAAAAAAAAAAGCCTAAAATTTTATTTTCATCAACAATTGTATTTAATTTTATTTTACTGATATTTTTCTTTGGCATGACTGAACTTTCCTGTGCTAAATTATTTAAAATATTTTGAACTTTTTTCTCATTTATTTACCTAGGAGCCAAACGAGATGCAAGTTTTATAAGTAAAAGTGTATAAAAGAAAAAGATAAAAATGAGTATTTTTTCCCATTTTTATCTGACATGATTAAGCTATGGTTTTTTTCACTTTTAACATGATTTGTTTTAATATTTTTAAATAAAACTAGTAAAATTTCATCTTTTAAATAAATAACTGAAAAAAAAAAAAAAAATCAATCCCATGCAAAAAATACACATTTACAGTTTATGAAGATTTTAATCATTTTTAATCTTAACAGTTATCAAGTTGGATATCAGCATTATTTAGCTTTCATCTTTCTAATATATTTTTTAAAATTTATTGTAAAGTTTGTTAAAATTGCTTATATCTCTTTAAAAAAAAAATTAGAAAAAAAAAAAAAATGAGGGAATGCTTTTTTCTGCGTTGTTTCACTTTTACTCTTTTAGCAAAAATAAAACACTTTTTGATTCTTTTTAGAAATTATCAAATTTCTTAGTTGTGAGAAATTTATTTTAGACAGTAAAACTTATTAGTGATTAAATGTTTTATCATTTATTTAATAAGTTGCTGTGATAATTCATATTTAATTCTTATTAAATGTCTGTAAGCAAATTTAAAATTTGCATGAATTTTTTATTCAATTTCCTGCAGGATTAGGTACTTCTACTTTACCAATATATATGCTTAAGTTAAACCACAATACATAGGATGATGTCTTTCTGCTTAGAGCATTATTGTTACAATTAGGGTGTCTCCTATTTTTTTAAGTGCATCCTGAAATTGAATTGTTCCATTCATTGAAAAATACTACATATAAAATTTTAAGGAAATTGTATTATATTTAGAGGGTGTCTTTGCATGTTAAAACTTAAAAGGTGGAAAAAAAAAAAAAAAAAAAAAAGACCCTTCTTTTATTTTACAATTAATAGCAAACCATTATTAGTTGAATCTTTACAAATTATGCACATAAGAAAACTAGAAACATTTTTTACCTAACAGTGAAAAATTTAAATTTTAACAAATGTTTATTATTTTCAAACACCAATTATAACAAGTGTATGACTGATAACATTAAAGATTCTTCTTTGGATTTTGTCAAGAATTTCTAGATACATAGCAGAAGCACCGGACATGATGTAGCAGCAATATTCATTGTAAGGACAAATGGTAGACTTACAAAATGTAAAACAGATTTTATCTTTACACCATCTCTCCCTGCCTGTTCTAGTAACAATTTACACAAACTTAAGTAGGTTACTCACTTTCTTTTATACCTCCTGCCTTCACTATGTCCTGTGAGTATCAAATTCTCCAAGCCCTCTTTCCTCATTATGTGCCCTAGAAATTTCAACTAGCTCCTGATTCTAAGTATAATTGCCCTTTTTGTTTCTATTATCCTTAAAACTTGTTACTGACATTTTCAGTACAGTTTCTGAGCAACCTTTCTGTTGTCTAAAGTCAATTGTCCAACATTCACTGCCATAAAAGAGGACTAGTATTACATAACACACTTCAGCACTCATTTTCTTTGTTTCTAATGAAATTTTCCTGTTTGTCAATACTTTGCTTAGCTTTTGAAAAGCATCATTTACTATTCCAATCCACTTTCATATTTTGTGTCCTTTGTTGAATTACCCTTACGAGCTAAAATATGAAAGGAATTATGAAAAACATTCTTATACATATTTCATATTCAAATAACAAGCGAGCATGGCAGGAGATTTTATGGATGTTTTGGATATCTTCAGTGAAATTCTTTTCACAGAGATTCACATGAAAGATGTAAATTGGTATATGTATAAACATAACATAACATTCTCACAATATAAATGGTATAATGATGACTTATGGAATGAAACCAACATCCACCATGGGCATTCCTATGCCCATACTAGGTAGATAGAGAAAAATGGTGTGGACATAGAAATCAACCATGTATGGTAATAATTAAGCAATTATCAGACCATTTGGATCTAGTTTGAAAAACAACTGCCCAAGATCTAAGTGACGTTGCACTGTCTTGCTTGAATACTATATTTTCTAATGTATCTCAATCTTTTACAGATAGAGTTTATCATGTACAGAAATGAAGTTAAGAAAATATAAATGAACCTGTATGTTTGCGTGTACGGAGAAAGACTGCTCTTTTGAAAATGACAAGAATAAATATTGATGCCATTTCAATTAAAATCTATCTGCTGTCAAAATGTTAATTTGTAATGTCTTTTATTACAACAGAATCAGTCATGAAAGACTATAATTTCACCCTTTGAAAGATTAAAATTATTCAATGTGATTAGGATATTTGTATGTATGCTTATTATACATTATTTAACAAAATATGGTGAATCTTGTAACCACTATCATAATTATAACAAATTACAATGATAAATTTATTAAAATTTTAGAGAGTGAAAACATATTTTCGCTTATTTTCAATCAAAAACAATAATAAAAATTATCAATATTATAAACGTTTGTAAAACTTTCAGAAAAAAAAAAAAAAAAATCATCGGTGTAAGAGAAGTAACTCTTGGTGCAAGACATTTTCCACATGCATCGACATTTTTTTTTTTATTTTCAGCTAGATTTTCTTTCATTTTACCGCAATTCTATCTCAATAATATATTGTCCCGACATTCTCCAACCATTAAGCAAGCAGTGTGAATCAGAAATAAAGTTTTCTAACAAATTGAGAGTTTGTCTGACCAGGACATCACCCTACCAAACAAGCCACAAAAGCTAAACAGCAGGTGTCATTGAAATTTAATCATACATTCCTTTTCATCTGATTATACCTTCATGAAAATATATAGTAAGGTAACGAAAATTGAGTGATGACAATAGATTGGCTTTTACAGACCACCTGATGAGAAGCTATGACCAATAAACAGGTCTTCAACAATAAGGAATGAAAGCTAAAATTTTGCCATTTCTTTATGCATACTGCTTATTCATTGGTTATAGAATACAAAAAAAGAAAAAAAATGACCGGAGTGTTGAAATGAAAACAACAAAAATAAGATTAAAGAAAGGTAAAAATTAAAATTGTTATTCAGTTTCTTTTTAAAAGTGTTTCTTTACATTTTTAATCAGTCTTAATTGTATTTTGTGATACTAATCAATTTATTATTATATATCTTTTTAAATCAATTCACCTCAAGCAAGTCGAAAATGTTACTAAGACAATCAATTTAAATCCAACTGAAAAAGCCATAGCAACTCAGTGAAATAGGTTTTATTTTTAGTCTTCTTTCTTTTCATAAATATTTTGGTCAGTGAAATAAAAAAAAAAAAGATCTGGTTTAAATCAAGGCTTCTTATATAAAATTAAGAAAAAAAAATACAAAAGGCAATTTTTAAAAGATAAAAATCCTAACCTGAGCAAACTATCAACAGTTGTGCATTGAGTTTGTTGAAAAATTTCATCAGCAATTATTTTGAGGACTTCCACATTTTGCACAGATTCTTCTGCAATGGAAGTAGCAAATTCACCAATGACCTCCAAGAACATCTCACGAGCCAGTTCTTTTATCATCTGCAGGAAAAATCAAAAGGGTAAAATATAAGGTGAAGTTTCTGTATGAGCTAAAACATAAAAGAAAAAACTTCTGTAAAATTTTCTTTGTCAAAATGAAAAATTCTAACATGTTCAATGTAGTGTTACTAAACCAGAAATGAGACTTGCTGTCAACTTTTATTATTAACTGGAGATTTTAAAAGTTACTTGTGTAATTATATATATTTTTTAAACTATAGATATTATCAAATTTGTTCAAAATAAAACAAAAAATAAATCTAAATAAAAGGAAAAAGAAAAAATTGGAAAATGAGTTTTAAAATTCATAAATACAAAAATTTGAACAAATTTGTAAATTTCTGTTAAATTTCATCTAAAAATACAACTTTTTTGTAAAACTGAAGTTTATTTATTCATTTTAAAATCAATGAGGCCAATTTATTATTCTCTTGATTTTCTGGTTAACAGTTATATTTTAAGTCAAATTATCACAAAAATATTTTGTGCTATATCAGTTAAGAATGAAATTATCCCGACTTAAAACAAGATGGAATTTTGTTAGTTTATTGACCAGCTGGTGTTGTGTACTTTTTGGCCTATCAATATTTTTAAGGAATAGTGATACATAAAAAGAGGAAAGTTTGTTTCACATATTTGATAAAAGTCCTGATAAACAGAAATCATGGAGATGGAATAATTCTTCTCATGCATCAGAGTACAAGAGAAAGAAAAAAAATGTAAAGAAAGAATAAAATTAACACAAGAGGTAAATGATTTCTGGAGATTTTTAAGCCCAGAAATCATTTACCATTTGTGATAATCACATGGCAAGAACAAAATTCTTTTCCTTCTTTGCATTTAACCAAAACTGTCTTCTGCTATGAAAGTGATCACTATATTCTCATTTAAATAAGGAAAGAAATAATTAGTTTTAATCTCAGTGCTTCATTTCTTTAATAATGAACATTAAAAATTAAAGAAAGCCACACATTACAGACATAAAATTAATTTTGTTGCAGTTTTTGTATCTAGAGCATCACTTCAACATCTTTCATAGATGCTGAGGTGCTGTTCTTTCTTTTCAAAGTTGCAATTAGTATAAGATTAAAGTTAGGAAGAATAAACTAGAGATTTAATATATGAAAGTACAAAAGAGGAAAAGAAAACCTGCACATCTGCCATAAAGAAATGAACATAGCAATAAATATCAAATAAAAACATTTACATCTAGAGTTAATTGCTTGATATATGCAGCATGCATAGCTGAAGACTGTGTTGTTGGAACTTTAGTCGCTGGAATTGTAGCAACTTCACTCTGGATATGAACAGGGTCAGTTGAAAGCCCTGGTCTGGGTATGTGACATTGATATTCTTCCATCTTGGGTAATTCTGTTAAATCTTTTTGTGGCTTGGTTTCAAGTATTGATGAATGCTGTTCTTGTGATGATTGTTCTTGGAATGAAGGTGGTTCATATTGGGTCTGAGGTTCTGGTTTAAATTCCACTTGGGATGGAGGAGAACTAAGAGCTTCAAGTGCGACTCCAAAGGGTTGGGGAGGAATTTCTGCAGGGACAGCTACTTCACTCTTTACTTTCTTGTCAGTAACTGTTTCATTCTTTTCTTTAACTGTAAAAGAAAAAAAAATATATATATATATATATATATATATATATATATATATATACTGAAATCTTACTCTTCATTCTTTTACATTTGAATATATATATATATATATATATATATATATATATATATATATATATTCAAATGTAAAAAAGAACGAAAGTAAATTTCAGTGTTAAAACATTAATTTAAAACAGGACTCAATATAAAAATAGAGCAATAAATATTTATTTATTATGCACTGGTACATTTTTTTTTAATATTTCATCAGGTGGGAAATCATATTGTGATTTCCCACCTGATAAAAGGATAAAAAAATTTTTAACACTGAAACAAGATGTAGTTTTGTAGTGGTATGTGCATGTTCTAATGTAACACTGCATAATATATATATATTATATTATATTATATATATATATATATATATTATATTATATATATATATATATATATATATATATATATATATATATATATATATATATATATATCCTCAATATTCTATGTTGTATTCAATGTGAAATAAAAGGCTCAGCAAATATTTCAAAAATAGAAGAGTTGACCATTCTGACAAATCCAATTAAAATATATCATTTATGAACAAAATCTATCACAACTACAACTGAAATTAATTTATCTAAGCTTAATATAAAATTTGTTACAACTGTATAATAAAAGATTTAATACAAAACAAATAATAAAGCTAAAACTTAAGGGAGGAATTTACTTTGACTACCTGTAATAATTACTACAAGTGATACATAGGAGAAACCTCCAAGAATTTAAATAAAAAATTATATGAACACAAAAGTGATCTTTTCCAAGGCAACACACTCAATGCATTAGTTGTTCACCCTAATGAGTCTGACCATAAATTTCAATTTAGAAAATGCTACTTTAATTAACAGAGAAAGCAATTCACTAAGATATAGAAAGTGATTTAATTGCTAGATCATGCAGACAATTTGTGTCCAGGTTCACTTTTCTTGGCAGATTATCACCATGTGGAATAAAAGTGAAAGAAACTAAATGAAATGAAACTGATAGATTCTATACCCAAACACATTAAAAAAAATAATCTAAATTTAAAAAAGTTTAAAATTTCAGCACCTCCCTTCATATACATGTGTAATAACATAACTTCAGTCCAATAAAGTCCTAAAGGACAAAACACATCACACAAAACATTTTTCCCACTTTGTCATTAATTTTCCTAATATTTTCCTCTAATTTTATTGAAAATTTTTATATACCTAAACACATGATACCAAAGCAAAAGAAAAATTGATGCTGAATCTAGAATAGTACAGAAGAAAAAAATTATATTTTTTGCCAAATTGCCTGGTAAACTTACCTGTTTGATTTACACTAAACAAATTCTTGCTGTTAAAGAGTACAATAAACAATGACATAAAACATACCAGAAAAAAATTGAAGATTATAATGGTCAGATTAGTAAAGAAGAAAAATAGCTAAATTACTCAGATAATTGTCAATTTTTCAAAACCTACATAAAAAGAGTAGTGTTGCAATCAGAGCTAGTTATGTAATTGCAAATGTAATAACTATTTTGTCAAAGACCTTTTTTAACAGGTGAATTTGTCAAGAAGTGTATAATCAAGGTTTCCAGGATAGCTTGTCCTGAAAAGCAGGAGTTATTTTCAGATATTATCAAAGAACACTATTGTAGAATGCAAGAAAAATTAAATAAAATTTTAATAAAGCACATTTTTATCTTGCATTTTCCATGAACTGGCATTTTATTGATGTAGTGTAGTTTTGCATTTTTATTGAAGGTGTTGATGAAGATATTTGCATCAGAGAAAAAATTGTGGAACATGCACCCCTGAATAGATAAAGATATACAAAGTGCAGCAGAAATACCCCCCACTTAATAATAAGATATTAGCTAGATGAAGACACCATTGCTACTAATGTCTTACCATTATGTGGAAGGTATTTTTGCCATATCCAGTATTTCTATCCCTGGAAACAATGCACTTGTCCACAAATGGTAAACAGTGATGTAGGTGTCCAAAATAAAAGAAAAAATTGGAGATAATAACTAAAGATTACCATCTCAACAATCAAAGTGTTATGTTGTAAGGCTCACAAAATAGACCATGTCATTCATATTATGATAAAAAAAGACATTCTCATATCTGCATGTAGCTTAAATCCCCAACAACTTGATAATTTCTTAAATTTAATTGTATTCCACTTGTTGGCTAAGTAAGAGTGCTGCATTAAAGCACTTCCATAACTTTCTTCGTTAAAATAAGCAAAAAAAAAAAAAAAAAAATAAAAAAATAATTGTGCATAAATTTGAAAATGCTGGGTGGATTAAAGAATTTAATGGTTGATATGACTGATCATGTAAATGATTTCAATCTAAAAATGCAAGAAATTCAGCAAATATTGAAAGGGAATTTCTTTAATTTTATGACTTTGAAATCACTTAAATTGTCCAATTAAGAAGAAATATACAGCTATATAATTTCTGATCTGCAAGACTTTCAAAAAAGGATTGTAAATATGTTGAATTCAAACTTTGCTGTAAGAAAAATGTTTGAAAGTTCAATTTTTGAGCAATCATTCTTACAAATGCACATAAATCAAGAACAACTGATGACCATTAGATGCATAATGTAAGTCTCAATCAATTCCTATTCTCAAAATTTTGATAATTTACTACAAAATGTTTCCAGAAGATTCAGCAAAAATTATTGTAAAAAATTAATTCTTTTCATGTCTAGATAAATATATTATTCTTGCGTGTTTGTTAAATTATGTACCAATACTATTATAGGGACCATCTCTTGATTATCTCTCTTGTTCTGATTATCCACCCCTAGTTCCAGGTCAGACATGTATTCATTCTATCAAATATTGATCTTCTCAAGAACTACTGGCATGCATTTGAAAGATTTCTATCATCACACCAAAGCTCTTGTTTATAAGGACTATATATTTATATACATGCATGTGTACATACACACAATCACACAATGTGGATGAATCCGCCACCTACCAACAAACACACTTTGCTAACACTTCATGTTTTTTTTTTCTTTTGTCCCATTTGTTAAAATATCTATTGACCACTTTGGCTTACATTACAAATAGGACTTTAGGAATAATTATCCTTAACCAGCCCACAAGATTGTTTTAATCTGGCCTGTAAAGACAAACAAAATTGACATCTCTGGTATATTAATTCAAAGGCATTAATGAAAGAATTCAAATTAAATTTTTTTAAATTAAAAATTCTGAAAAACAAGATCATAATTTGGAGGTCTTCAAATTTTTATTTAATTTTCTATTTGAAAAAAATCAATTTTAATTATTCAATTTATTTTTCACCTTTTGTAAATTTACTTTTACTTAATTATGTTTTATAATATTTAAGATTTTACTTCTATATGTAATAAATTAATTTCAAGCTTCTTATCAGCAACAATACCAATCTGAAAAATATTTTAAATGAAATCAATCAACTTACTGTATCTGAAGAATCCTTTGAATACAAATTATATACAGTAATTCAGTCTTGTACTGACAATAACAGTAGTGAAATTTGAAATTAACTGCAAACAATTTCTCAGATTTCACTACTTAGCAAATAATTCAATGCCTGCAAAATCACAGCCAACATTTTCTTTTTGTAACATCAAAGATATCACGTTCTTAATTAAAAGAGATAAATTTCACCTACCATTTCTGGCCATCATTTCAGGCTTGATGTTACCATCTTTATCAAAACTTGTGGTGGGTGTAAGTAATTCATGAGGTGGCAAAGGTCCACCATTTATTACCTGGAAAATAAATGTGTCAATATATATGAGCCAGATTTTATAATTTGATCCAGCTACCAATGTTCAATACTGGAAATATTTTAAGATTTTGAATATAAAGTTGCTCTCAAAAAATATCATAGACAAACTTGGCATTCTCATACTTACCTCCCCAATTGTCCACATACATTTTGACTCAACAAGTGTGATAGATCTCTGTGGCTCAGGGGCTGTTTCTGGTTCAACAAAAGAAGCTCTGTCTAATAAAACATCACTATTTTCAACAATAAATCCATAATGTCTGCAGAAAGCAGCAGCTTGGGTTATTGATTCAAAGCCCAAAGTTTCAACTAATTTGCAGAGTGGAAACTAGAAGAGAAAGAGAAGAAAACAACAATAAATGGCCAAAATAATTCAATCCAAAGCCAAAATAAAATGTTCATTTAGTACTTGAATTCATATATTTACTAATCTTTAGGCATATTTAAGTTACAGAAAAATATGCATTAGTTTGAGGATTTCAATTCTAGATATGACTTAAAATCACAATAGAACATCAAAACCAAAATACATTCCTATTGTTAATATATAAGTGGTTCCTGAGGTCAACAGTCTGTTCCATACTTGAGTGCAATCTTCAAGATGGCCTGAAGACTGTGCTCAAAAATGAAAGTAACTGTCACCTCTTAGTGTTGACCTCAGTGTCCACTTTTATATTTACACATGTTCTATCCCTGATATTCATTTTTTACCAAAATATAGTATATCATGAACTATATATATATATATATATTTATTAAAGACATTTTTTATTTTATGTTTAACGTTGTTATTTTATAGATACAAGTATTTCAAATGTGTTCCCAGTATTAAATAACATTTTGAATCAAGAAATTTTTAGAAAATATTCGTTCATAGACAGGATTCTATCCCCTGATATTGACCAGCATATGGTAGACAATTTTACCCATGAATCTAAATATATCGAATGTAAACAAATATCTATATGTTAAGAAATGGACGAGGTCCATAATTTATTTATAAATATATTTTTATTTATGTTTAACGTTGTTATTTTTATATATATTATGTGTGATAAACAGTATTAAATAACATACGGCCTGAATGTCTGAGAAATTTTCATGAAAATATTATTTAGGAACCTGCAACTTGGAACCGCCATTTTTCATGAATTGATGCATGAATTTCATTAAATAATTTAGACAAGTTTGTAAACAAATTTATGTTTTCCGACAATTTAAGTTAAGACATTTTTTATTTATGTTTCGTTGCCTTTCATATTGTTTAATAAACTGTTTAATAGCATTATCAATGAAAAGACGAAACCTGCATCTATACTATATTGTGCCTTGACCACTGGCCACCATGAACCTTTTAAATTTACTGTTATAAACACAATCTAAGCTTTTCGGCTTAAACAAATGGCGTCATATGTTATCAAAGATGACAATTTATTTATTAAAAGACATTTTTATTTATGTTTAACGTTGTATTTTTATGAATACAAATTTAACATGGACGAAAAAATAATCATAGTCTGCATTTTTGTTACATGTAAACTCGGCCAAAATTTCAACAAGGCAACAACTTAAATCGTGGCGTATCGAATGTAAACACATATATGTTTAAATAAATGGAATAAAAAATTTATTAAAGACATTTTGCAGCTCAAGTATTTAAGCAAATGCTCTGTTTATGATAAACAGTATTAAATAACATTTCACACATGACATGGTAGACAATTCGAACCCTAAATAACAACCATAAAAATGTCTTTTAATAAATAAATTGTCGGGTCCACCATATGACTTAAAAAGTAAAAAAAGTATAAGTATGGGAACTGGAATATTTTTGGTATAATTTAATACAATGATTTGCTTAAATACTTGTATCTATGTAAACATAAATAAAAATCAATTATAGGCATTTAAGAATATATATATATATGTGGTATAGTATATTTAGGCAGCAAGTTTTCATTTTGTTTCATTAAATAATTTCAAGTTTTGTCATTTATTTTAAATAAGTTTTATTGTCTGATAAACTTATAGCATTATCAATGAAAGGCGAAAAAGAAATCACTATATTGATAATTTTAAATCTAATAGTTTTTGTTTATTGACAATTACTTTTCAATATATCAACCAATACATGGACGAAATGATAATCATAGTCTGTTTTTGTTACATGAAAAATTTCAAAGCAACAACTAAATCGTATATACGAGACACGGAAGCAAAAATTGTGTTGCAGCTCATGACGTCACACATGACCACGCGAGAGTAAAAACGAAAAGTATTAAGTATGGGAACTGGTTGGTATAAACCAATGACTTCTGTAATCAATTATAGGCATTTAAGAATATTTGTGGAGAAAAACTGTTTTTATGTATAACAATTTTTAGTTTTTGTTTATTGTTAAACAACATGCCTGACCGCATACACAATTCCGGAAAATCCTTGTTGAAAACACAACTATACTTAAACATGAAAACAATAAACAATTTTTCAAATCTAATCTAAAATATCTTTCCAACACGCAAAAAATTTTGTGAGTCTTATATTACGTCCCTTCTTAATACTCTTCAAAGCAGAAAAAACAAAAACATTTTGGTAGTATTTTTACTAGATCCAATCAAAAGGGAAGTAACTCATCTTTGAGCTCTTGCAAAACTGTAATGAAAATTCATTTTTCAATAGAATTTTGAACAACATTCTAATTTAAAATTGTAAAATTCCAGATAACTTAAAATAGTTTGGCAGTTTAACTAAGTTCTGTATCATGTTTTACAATTAATAATTACAATTTTTTAATTAATGGCATCTACTTTGCCACTGTACAAGGCAAGCAACATTCTCTTAATAACCACAAGAGATTTATTTTAAAGAGTTTTTTTTTTATTCTATAATGGCAATTTCCTCATGTACACAGAGACATATTTAATCATCATAATCCCACTACTACGATTATATGCTTAGTATAACTATAATTTGATTACTGTGTAGCAAAGTACTCTAATTTCTATTGTAATTAATTTAATCCACACTTGTAGACTTATGCCAGTCCATCTGTAAAGTATTAAATAACAAAAAATTCAATAAGGTTTAATTAAAAAATTAAATAAAACCTTTAAATCAATATTCTTAATTTGAAGTTAAAAATTTGTAATTGAACTTGATTAAAATTTATTATAATGAATTGATAAATTATTATTAAAATTCAATGTCAGTAGAAATATTGTAAAGTTAATCAACAAATCAAATTGATGTCAAATTAAGTTTTATGTATCCCACCATACATATAGATAACAAGTTAACTATAGCAAAAAAAAAAAATAAAATAAAGCGAAAAGATTAAATTAATTTTCAGTTTTTAGTAAAACCTTTAAAAGATTAATTAATGGGATCCTAGAGAAAGACAACCATCAATTAAGGATCCTAGAGAAAGACAACCATCAATTAAGGATCCTAGAGAAAGACAACCATCAATTAAGGATCCTAGAGAAAGACAACCATCAATTAAGGATCCTAGAGAAAGACAACCATCAATTAAGGATCCTAGAGAAAGACAACCATCAATTAAGGATTCCTTTCCACCTGCGAAATGATACTAAAGAATGAGATTTTTGACTGAACAAGAAATAAATTTTTAAAAAAAGCTATTAAAGAAATTCTTCATTTTTGAAATGTATACAGTATATGAAAGAAAAAAAAAAAAAAAAAAACACCCTCCCATTCAGCCAACATGCCATAACAGCAGTAGAGTAACTGTCTATTTACTAGCACAGTGGTCAAACACCCCATCAGAATTTCTTATGTGTAAACTCAAATCAATTATCAACAGAATACAGTGAAGAAAAATATTTAGTAGCTGACTAAACAAAATAATTTAAATGACACTAATGATTCTTATTTTCAAATGTCATTGAGGTTTATACAAGCTTTTCTTGCTCTAGTGTGGTGGATAGTTCAACAAAAATTTTCTAAAGTATTTAACAAACAGAACATGCCAAGGCACAATGTCCTGAAAAAATTTCAGATTGATACAAAATTATGATAAGACTAAATTCAATGAGTAATTGGTTTTAACACAGGTGAGGATACAAAAATTGTTTCTTGAACTTCAGAAATGAAAAATAAGAATGTTCAAATGACCTTCTTAAATTTATTATTTAATTATTTAGACTAATATCCTCACTATTTTTTATTTTAATGCCTTTTTCAGCCAGGGCATCTGTGGCTTGCTCAGATGTATATTGAATCTGGTAATCTTCACAGACAAAGATCCCAAGATGCAAACTATACATGATAGTAGCCAAAATGTCCAAACAATAAAGATGCAGACACTTGTCTAAAAGATTCAATAAATTATGACAATTCTTCACCTCAATAAAAGAAAACAGTTACATTTACAATACAGTACAGAGGACAGTGTAATTAATTAAGAACAGTTTGCAAACAACATTGGATGATTATTTCAAACAGCATCTCCAAGATATAACAAAACAATATTCTGGGTACTCTGCTTACTGTCTTTCAATCCTTAGCAAAAAAAAAAAAAAAAAGATTCTTGTCAATAATCAAACTCTTTTGTACCAACCATAAAATTGAAAGTCTGTAACAAGCAAAGACCTAATTTGACAATCATTTAAAAACATTTCCAAAAACAGTTTTAATATGTAAATATATCTTACTGGAACAGGCCTTGAGCTCAAACTAAGTGCCCTCATAAGAATCATGAGTGCCTTACTGCGAACTTGGGCAAAGTAGCGATGTAAGATGCAAGCATTCAAGAACGTGGCCTTCCGGATGAGCTTGAAAAACTTAATGTAGTTGTTGCTGTTGATTGCTGTGTACACTTGCAAAGCAAACTGAATTTCTGGAGAACTCAAGATATCTAGACGCAAAGTTTGAACTTCTCTGAAAAAGAGAAAGAAGAAAAAAAAAGAGAAGAGAAATTCTCATGATAATTATAGTCAATATCAATCTTACTGAGTATATGCATACAGACATTTATTCATGGAAGTTACTTAGCCAGCAATAAAATGTCATTGAGTGAGTGTGTACTAATGTGACCAACACATACACAATGACCAAGTATATAGGTTCTTCATGTCTCACCCAGATTTACCAGACTCTTTACAATCCACATTTGCTTTCCTGGAACATTTTTGCTTTTCTCAAAGCAAAAATTGCATCTGAAATGCTGTGGACGAGATTAAGGATAATGTGACAAGGCTGTTGATCATGATTGGTATTGTGCTAGAAAGGACATTTTGTCATTAATGTTAAATGTTTGGATACTTTTTAGACGGACCTTGCATTTAGTCAACATTAAACAGATACAAGAAGTTTGGCTTTTTCCAAAACTGAATCAAAATTAGAAACAAAGAAATGTCTTCAAGTACTCACAAAAATTTACTTTAAATAAATTTAGCAAATTTTTTTTTTTGAGAGATTACTGAAGGAAAAGTATTGGCCCACTATGTCAGTTTACAGCATTGTAAGAAATAGACAATATTCAGGTGTTCAATTGCATTCAAGACATTTCTGCTTGGAAATGCTTTCAGTGCAATATGTTTTTTATATGTTGTAAAACTTTCAGTTAAAACATGAGTAAATTATTTTTAACACTGATCAAAATCTTAAATCAATTAAAAGCCAACACAAACATATCTCAGTTAAAAAAGTAAATAAATATATTAGACTTTTGTGTATGACAGAAATTGAAAAATAAAGTCATATAAAAGAAAAAAAAATGTCAAAGAGGTAACTACAAATATTTGACCAGCCAAAACATCAGTCCTTATAATCCAATTTATTGAAGATGATCAAGGGATGCCACAGATAAACTATCATAAAAAAATGAGAAACCCAGGAAGCTCACCTTAACATGTCTCCTTCATTTAAATTCATTAGAACAACATAGGCCCTGAACTCTGCTTCTGTCTCAAAATAAACCTTGTTCTTCCTTTCCATATCTGCATAGAGGTATTTCAGGCTCTGCAGACATTTGGTGAGATTTTCATCATTGATTTTGTGGGAAAAAGCTGACATCTCCTCCTCACAGAGACGCTCGGCAGAAAATATATGGAAGCGGGCACATTTCTCAATCATTGCAACCGCTTCAACATTGCACATCATCTGCTGAGTGATATCCTGTAAAGAGAAATACATTAAAATGAAAAAGGGTAATGGGAACAGAAATGTTATTAAAAAATAGGAAATCTATTAAAAAATCAGAAAAAGAAACATTAAATTTTTAAGATAATATGACATCAGTGAATCTTTGAAATTATAAACAGATAGCAGATTGAAGAGATAGCAAGATTAATTTTTTTAAAGTTTTAAATGGTGGCAGACAATCAAGAATTTTTTCTTGTAATATACCTCTGAAGAAGGCTAAAGATCATATCAGCTAAAATATTGTGGCAAAAACAATGGTTTGATTAGTTTTACCTCATGAGTCATTTAAAATATAGAAAATCAGATTTTTATTCAATATTTTAGAAAGTTTTAAATTTCATAATACGTGAAAACTGGTTGTATAGTTTGTCTATAGGTGGTCTGGGTTTAAGTTTGGTGTATAATTTAGTTTTCTTGAAATAGGTCAAAATAGATGGTTCGATATTCGTGCAAAATAGTTATTGCATGAATGTTTTTGAAAAGTTCCTTAAGGCTTAATAAAGGTGTTTATGGATTGAGGCAAATTCAGTACAGCCCATCATAAAATGTTTTACTGTGTATGCCTCCTGGCATATTATGCATTTAGGTAGATCCACATTTTTTAGAAAAAAAAGAATATGTGATGTTTGTCTGACCAATTCTGATTCTTACTAAGACTTTTCTTTCTGGAGAATCTGAATCCATTTTCTGTGGCCAACTTGTTTACTCTGAGACACTGTTAGAGTTGTTCAATTGTATACAGTGCTCAATTGTCTAGATATTTTTCAATCTGTAACATATTAAAAATCATCAACATACAGTGAACAGTCCACGCCAAGGTTCAAGCATTTAATGCAGGTATCTCCGTGAGATCATTGGAAAATAAGCATAGCATGATAAAAACGGCCTTAAACTTGATGAAAGCAAAATTTTATTGTCAAAATGTTACTATTAAGAGGAAAGAACAATGTATTTTTTTAATTATTTTTTCAAATTTTTTCCATCTTTTAGAACATTCTAACTTTTGATTAAAAAAATCCTTTGTTTCTCTTCGTCGGCGGAAGTACTAAATAACGTATCAAATTTTTGTGCATTTTTTTTTTAAATAACAGACATTAATTTTGAAAATCTTGCACAAATAGAAATAATTGTCGGATTTTAATGAAACTTTCAGAAACTATTCAGGAATGATGGAAATTATTATAAATATGTTATTTTTTTGTAAAGTCATGATAAATATATATATATATATATATAATTATTTTTTATAAAAAAAAAAATTTATAAACATAAATATGTTATAAAATCACTACAAAAATAGCCATTTTGTTTCAACACCCTCGGTGTCTTATCAAGTGATGATGCTGAATACAAAATAAATGGTTTTAAAAGTTTCAAATTAATTAACGATCCTTCGCTAGGGGAAAACATTGTTACAAAAGCTAGAATGACCAATCAAAACCCAAGTATAGGAAGATTCAAAAGCTTGACAACGAAATCATGTTATAATAGCTATTCAGATCTTTAAAATACAGGTAATATTAAAAAGAATTTATTCTAACCAATAATTATTCAATTATATGATAAAATTTGATATTAAAATTAAAAACTGCCAATTTTAAAATCCAAATTTAATCACTATTAAGTTTAAAAACTATAAAATTACTGAGGAGAAAAGAAAAAATACATATCTTATTCAATTTATTTCTTCGTTGAAATTACGTTAGAACAGACGCTACAATATCCGGTCATTTGACAATACATGTATATATATTTTAATCCCAAGTGTGTGAATGGGGTCTTAAACTCACGTGCAAAACAACAAAAACACAATTAGATTATAATACATAAGCACCCAGACATATTTAGATATATACATACACACAAAAAAGCAACGAGACAGTAACATCTCCACAGCCCTATATGAAAAAAAGAAACGGGGAAACCAACACCCACACACACAATTAAAAGTGAATGCACTCTCCATACACATAGACACCAATAAATACATGTACACACATCCACAGACATTGGCCTAGACAATCAGATACCACAACCAATAAATATTTAAGACTGAAAGTATCATTAAACAATGCTAGCCCCTTATTAAAATATAACTTAAGCGAGCAAATATACAAAGATAAAAATGGTTAAAAATAATATTATTTAATATATTAAAACGAAAATTCCAAAACCACAAATATCAATAAAAACATATTTTAATCATATAAGTTGATAATAGTTTCATTATATATTAGGCAAAGGAAAACAGATAAAGAAAACTTACATATATATTTTGTTTTAACAAAATGGCTATTTTTGTAGTGATTTTATAACATATTAAAGAAAACCTACATATATATTTTGTTTTAACAAAATGGCTATTTTTGTAGTGATTTTATAACATATTAAAGAAAACCTACATATATATTTTGTTTTAACAAAATGGCTATTTTTGTAGTGATTTTATAACATATTAAAGAAAACCTACATATATATTTTGTTTTAACAAAATGGCTATTTTTGTAGTGATTTTATAACATATTTATGTTATAATTTTTTTTTTTTTATAAAAAAAAATTATATCTGCTCTACTTTGTATTGAGCACTCTTTTAAGAATAGTAATTGTTGGTTATTGAATTCATTCCATATACACCAATTATATACTTAGTATATATATATATATATATATATATATATATATATATATATATATATATATATATATAGAGAGAGAGAGAGAGAGAGAGAGAAAAGTTTCAAATTAAAAATTATAATGTTTTATTTGATATTTCAAATTGTCCTCAATTTATCATCAGAAATAACTGTTTGTTACAAATAAATTAAAATTACTGTTTGTTAGCAAGTAGCGTCCTTAGCGAAGAGACGCGGACGTCACGTGATATGGAACGTCACTGTTAGGGATATTCCTAACTTAAATCTGTCATAAATATTATTAAAATTTTTTTTTTTTTTACTATATCTAAAAAAATTGCTTAACTATTGAAATATTTATAAAGATTTAAAACACCTAAGTCCCTATTCAACCCTAGTTTATGTGTATTTAATTTTAAAATCAATATGTTTTTTTTTGCGTGTGAATATGGAAGTAAAATCGGAATCTATTAATAAACATTTGCAGTTTTCTAATGTGTGTCCTGATTGATTGTAGTGTTTAGCTATGGGGGAATAAGGGTTGTTTTGATGTATTGTTTGTTTGTGGTTATTGAAACGAAATCTAAAATTGTTTCCAGACTCACCAATATATCCACTATTATGACATAAGTTGCAGAATAAATAATAGATTACGTTATGGCTATCGCAGGTGAGGTTAGGTGGCTGTATCCTGATATTGGTGTTGGGTACGGAAAATATATTAGCTATTATTAAATGTTTGCAAACTAAGCAACAAGGTTTGTTACATTTGTAATTTCCTGTTTGGTTTCTATTGTTTAGATATTTGGTAGAGGTGAGGATAGCTGATAGGTTAGGTGATTGTTTCATTACATTTATGGGTGGTTTATCGAAAATGTCTTTGTCTTTTTGTCTAATTGGAGGTTCTTGTAATCATTTTTTAAATTGTGAATAAGTGTGTTGGAATATTGATTGTGGTTAAAAACCATGGGAATCCGATTGTTTTTATTTTTCTTGTATGTGAGAAGTGTGTTACGATTTATCAGGATAGTTTTATTTAGTGCTTCTTTTATTATTTTTATTGGGTATTTGCATTTTAGGAATTGTTTTGTTAAGTTATTAATGTTGTATAGAAAATCTAAATGGTCTGAGCATATGCGTTTGATTCTTAGAAATGAGCTGTATACAATAGATTTTTTTAATTTAAAGGGATGACAGCTGTTAAAGTGCAGGAATTTATGTTGGTTTGTGGGTTTGTTGTATAGACTGGTAGAAAGTGTATGTTTGTTTAATTTTATCATAACGTCTAAGAAAGGGATGGATGTGTATGAGTGCTCCATGGTAAATTTAATTGTATCGTGGAAATTGTTGCAGAAAGTGAAAAAAGTTTTTTAATTTTTCTGATCCATGAGTCCATAGTAAGAAAATGTCATCAATATATCTAAAGTAATGTGATGGTTTATATTCTGAATTGTCTAGTATCTTCTTTTCTAGAATGTGCATAAAGATATTAGCATAACTAGGTGCCATTTTTGTGCCCATTGCTGTGCCACTAATCTGTAAATAGTGTTTGTTGTTGAATTTAAAATTATTATGTGTTAAGATGAAATTTATTAATTGGCATATATCTGTAATTTGGTAGTTAGGTAATTTTTTGTTACTAAGGAACTCATAGCAAGCTGATACTCCTTCAACATGTGGAATGTTCGTGTAAAGGAACTAGGATTGTATCATGGTGGACTAAGTTAACGTTTTGTAATTTGTTGAGAAAGTCAGTAGTGTCTCTAATATAACTAGGTATGTCAGGCAATAAAGGTTTTAGGATATTGTCTATGTACCCAGATATAAGTTCTGTGAGGGTACCAATGCCTGATATTATGGGTCTACCAGGTGGCATGATTTTAAGGGTTTTTGAAATTTCATAGATGTTCTCTTCATTATTTGATTGTATAATTTGATGTGGGTCGGATGAAAAAGTGTTAGGGTGTTTTTCTGAAAGGATTTTGGGGAGTTTATGTAGTTTTGGGATAGTGTAGAATGTTGCTGTTTTAGGGTTCTCAGGAATAAGAGATTTTATGGTATTTTTTATGTTGTAGTTCAGGTTCTGAGTGAGAAGTGATAATTCTGTTTTGAATGTGCTAGTTGGGTCTAGAGATAAGGGTACATAGAATCTGTTATTTTGAAGTTGTGATTCTGCTTCTTTAATGTAGTGGTTAGTGTCTAAGATGGTTATAGCTCCGCCCTTGTCGGCTGAATACGATAATTATGTCTCGGTTGTTTTTAAGAGTATAGATGGCTTGGTGTTCTATTTTGGATAAATTGTATTTTTTATCTGGTGTCCTTTGTTTTTTAAGAAGTT